TATAATTAGGTAGGCTCACAGCTTATGTATACAAAGTAGTTAAAAATATTGGTTATAGGTTGTAGGCCTTATACATTAGTTACGAGCTAACCAACATTCCTAAAATTATGCGTTTGTACAGATAAAACATAGGACAACAGTATTTATCATAGTAAAGTAAGTATTTTACTCTCGCATCATCATAGGATCTAAAATTTTTAGTGCAGCCAAAATATTTAGGTCAAATAATACCGTATCCGTCCCTTCATAACTCCGAAAGCAACTTACATAGGTGATCTAAAATTAACCATTGCACAAGTAAACCACATCCCGCGGGTTTGTTTACAAAATAATCTTGTATAGTAACGGTTGTGGAAAATTGTGTGTTTATTATTAACGTAGCAGTGTTAAGGTTAGATTTGGATAAACATACGAACCCGCATATAAGTAGGATTATGTGTATTTTGGTGTGTTTTGATACAACGGTGTCTGCAGTTATTTTAAAATTGGATCTTTCTAATGTAAAGGTAAAGTTTGTTCTTTCGCTATTAGGTTTTGGTATGGTCATTTGAGTCTTATAAGCATTCACAGTTTTGCTTTGATTTTCATAAGATTAGATGTTATATGGAAAAAAGTTGGACTTCTTAAAAAGTCTCGACACATCACTTGAGAGTCGGTTTAAAACTGCAAGATCTTTTCAAATACTAAGGTACATAACTTTGCTTCGCTGTTTTATCTACACACTTCAACCAATTTTGAAATGAATTTTGCGATCATGCATCGTCACAAATAGTTTACTCTTCCAGCATAATGTATATTTACACAAAACCTCCACATCACACATCATCAGCCTATAAGTGCCCACTGCTGAGCAAAGGCCTATTTCCACACGAAGAAGGTTTAAGCTTGAACATTAACCACCACGTTTGCTCAAGCCGGATTGGCGACTTCAAACTTAAAATTAGAAACTACAAGTCCAGGTATCTTCGTTTTCCTCACAAAAATCTCTTTTCCATCTCACCCTTAACAACAACACCTAATAATATTCTATTCTAATCTTTAATACGTGCAGTATAATGGCCAATCTCCCGACATAGGACCATTAATTGCTTACTTTGGCCGGCCTTGATCAAGAAATGACGTTTGATCAGTGTGGTTAGTAAACAAACAGCATAATGGATTTAAACGTTCGCCTGTTGATGTTGATGTAACACTGTGTTTGTTGACATGGCACTTCTAGAAAATACTAGAATAAAGTTCCGTGTAATGATATGACGAGTGGATCGTTCAATACTGTTAAACTTTAAAGGATTGACTGAAATCATTAAGCGTTTTTCTCTACTATTCTATACTATTTTTTATATGTGATAGGACGACGAACGAGCAGACAGATTACCTGATGGTAAGCTATCAGCGCCGCCTATGGACAACCGCAACAACATAGAAGTCACGAGTGCGTTATAACCCTTTGGGGATTAGGGATTTGGACATTTTGGGATTGGGGGAGGGGAAGGATCGGGGCTCTGGAAACCTCATTTACACGGCGAATCACAAGCACAACGCTGTGGTTGTTTCACGCCGGTTTTCTGTGTGGCCCTGGTATCACTTTGGTCAAGCCGACCCATTCGTGTCGAAGCATGGCTCTCCCACACTTCACATTATGGGCATTTTTGAACGTCAAACACATAATTCTAAGACAAATAAAATCAGTCTGTCTCTGTCGGTCAGTTTTCCCAGGAGTTTATTAGCTTATTCCAAAGTTAACATTCCTATGGAGAAGAACGTGCAAGAAACTCCGAGGCTCCACACGGGCTATTGATGTTACAAAATCACAATTTGATAAATGACCTTCCGAGAATAGGTAGACAACGCCCCTTTTCAACAACGAATTAAAACCCGCATCTATATATCGAAATGACACACTAAAACTAAAAGATAAGTTGAGAGAACAGAGACAAAACTAGACATTTTTAGAAACTCCCACGGTCGCGTGAGACTGTGAGACAAAATAAAATAGTCTCAAGTCAGAATAGAACCGTTTGGATTATATAAAAAAATAACTGTACAAATTGTCAACGACCATTTAAAACGGTGCATTTTGAGTGTTTTTTTATGATAGGTCGGCAAACGAACAGACGGATTACGTGATGGTAAGCAATCAGCGCCGCTCAGGGAGCCCTGCAACAACAAAGGAGTAAAGAGTGCGTTGCCGACATTTTGGGGATTAGGGATTAAGAAATATAATGATTAGGAAGGGATTGGGGGAGGGGAAGAATTGGCCTACGGTATTCCAGGTTTCCTCCACACGATGTTTTGCTTTACCATTTATCATTGATGTCGAAATAATCTTAGAAAGAACATATTGACTCGCAAACATTCACATTAACTACTAATCGCCAGATTTGGCATCCGCAACCCCACTCATGAGAAACGGGATGCTTAACCTCCGAAAACTCCACTGTTAAGCGAAAATGATCACTTTGATAGTTCTACGGACAAAACAATATTTTTTATTTTCGCCACAAAATAATCTATTTAAATAAAAATGGATGGCACATTTTGCCATCCATTCATCATACACTCGACAACGCCTGGACCAATTTAGACAATTCTTTTTTTGGTGTATTTCTTATAGTCACGAGAAGGTTCTTATGAAAGAAAATATTAAAAAAGTAGGTACGGGGGGAAAATAGACGCTTTCGTCTTTAGTTAGAAATTGAACCCGTGCGAAGCGTGGGAGAGCCGCTAGTTGCTAATATAAATAAAGCTGAAGATTAAGCTTGTTTGCAAGCGCTAATCTCTGGCCCTACTAAGTTCGATTTGACAAAATCTTTTAGTGTAGGACAGTCCATTCATCGAGAAACGCTTCCACCAATGACGAGCCAGGCAGCAAGTTGCCGCGCGGTTGTAGATACTCCGTGATATTCTTGTGGTTGTCATCATTATAATTATGAGCTAAGCAAATGTGAATGTCAATTAGTATGCAAATACTAAACAGAAGTGCGTAACGTTATAATAATTGACATGGCTGACTGACAGAGGTATACAGCAGGTAAGTACGGATAGTATGTATATTAATGGAATATAGTTGAAGACTTAGAACAAATTGTAACGCGATAATCTTCAGAAATCGTCTATAATCTTCAGAAAGTAACTCTGCCTGTTTCTCTTTTCTTCACGCCTAAACTACTGAACCTATTTATGTGAAATATAGTACAGACTTAGTTTGAAACTCGAGAAAGGACATAGGACAGTTTTTAAACCAAAAATCTACAGGAAGTCTCTATTCCACGCGAACAAAGTCGCGGGCAAAAGCTATTTTTATAATAAAATCGTTTCAAAATATTTTTAAACGTGAAAGTTACTGTCTGTTTATTTGTTTCTTTCATATAAACTGCTGAACTGATTAAGATACGGGACGGGAAAACTTTGAAACATTAGAGAGCCATGCTTCGGAATGAATGGACCGGCTGGGTAGCTACGATCTTACAGAAAATCTGCCTGATACAACACTTATTTTGTGTTCCTATTTGTAAAAGACGTTACCGGAAGTCCAGTCTTTTAACTGCCCGCGACAATACCCAAAATCATCCAATCCATCCCCAAAATGGGGGCATGAATTTATTACTCCCCTTATGCTGCCGGTATAAATGAGCTACGTCTATTGATTACCATCTAGTGGGATCTGTCTGCTCATTTGCAGCCTCAGACCATACAAAATAAGGGTAACTGGAATGTTTTTTCAAATTCGCAGTCATCATCATCAGCTGGAAGAGGTCCACTGCTGAACAAAAGACTTATCTTCTTTCTCCATAACAGCTTCGCCACTTGCATCCTATCATATCCTACACGAACTTTGTCAAACACACGAAGATGTCTATTTCGCACAAGACGTCATCCTATTTTGCACAGAATACTGCACATATTTGTTTTTAGCACAATTTATTTGTGGTACATAATTAAATAAATCTGAAATATTAGTTTAAGATGTTATAACGTGATAATTCCGTGAATGAGTTTTGAAAGATAATTATTAATGTTTTGACAGCGTTATTGCTTAGTAATGGTATGACAAGATGTTATGATTATTTAGGATGTTAGCACGTGAAATAAGTGTGTTCAGTATATATTTTTTGTCACATAAAACTAGCAGTTCAATGCCATTTTCTTATTGACCTGTTGGGGAGATATCATCGAATATCTTCTTGCACTTTGGATGGAGCGAGAGGGTATCGTCTCATATTTAGTCAAGACTCTTACTGACTTAAAACCACTCCGTTCCTTTTCCTGCTCTAGACCGAGGCCCCGGTACATTTTTGGGGTTTGCACCTGCTTCCCCGGTTGGACATTCCCATCTGTGGTGCTCTTATTGTACTTACGTATATAGAGAGGCTTGAAAACATTATCTAATATTATCATCAGGTTACGACACATTACATTTACAAGAGTAAAACCACAAGCAGAGACAGTTAATTCAACGAAGGTGGTTTGATATAAAAACAAAAGATATATTATGTGTAACAGTTCGTATTTTTGTATAAAAATCCTAATAATATTATAACCGCGAAAGTTAAAAGTTACATGTACGGATAGATGCGTGGATGTTATTATTTACTCTTTCACGTAAAACTACTGAATGGATTTAATTGAAATTTGAGATTATAATAGTCTTAATATCTGTAACCTACTTAATCTTACATATCTATAAAATGAATCGCAAAATTTGGTGGTAAGCGCATAAATCAATAACACCTGGACTAATCATGTCAATTCATTTTTTTCTTATGTTTGTTATTGTCAGGAGAAGGTCCTTATGAGACCTGCATAAAACAACTTGAAACGAAAAGTTTCGTGCGTATAGATTGGTACCAGACTAAGTAAGACGAAGACGTCAAATTTGTACAAACCCCAATCTATTTCGCACAACCACAAACAAAGTCTATTTTGCACAAACTCAGAATATTTTGCACAAACCCAGTCTATATTGCACAATCATCAATTAAAACCTTTTAAGGACTTACCAAGCTGTATAGATCCCATGATTTGGGAAGACTGGATCTTTTTGTAGGTGATCTCGCCACCCTCGCCGACTCGACGATGTCCGATCTTTCTGTCTGATTTGTGGACCTTGCTGATTGCCCCCGAGGGGCCAACAGCAGGCTGCAAAGAAGAAAGAACCATTAATACGCGAAAATATATAGCAAAGCTAAAATAAGTGTTGGTATTTTAATTTCCTTACTGAAAGCATTTCTAGACTAGTATTTCTAGGCGTACCTAGCACCTATACTAGGCTAGCTACGAAAACTGCAAATATTCATTTAAGTCTCACAGGCAAATCTCCATAATTTTGCACCAATTAATTCTAAATTATATCTTTATGAGTCTAATTGGTATCTTGCAGCGTATTAATAAGAAATATAAAGCCAGTATTAACAACTAACTTATGTGTGGGAGAGCCGACTGGACCGCCTCACAGAAAATCGGCATTAAACAACCACAGCATTGCGTTTCGCCATGTGTGGGGGTCCTCCCCAATACCTAAACCTTCGAAAGCCTAATTCCCAAACGGCGCAAATCCTCTGGTGTTGCGGTTATCCATGGGCAGCGCCGATTGCTTACCATCATTGCTTTGCCGTCCATTAAAAAAAACACTCGATTACCACTCACTACATAAAATTAAACATATCAAAATATAATCAGAAAAATCAACTACCTATTGGAAGCACACCTTCAAATCTGACCAGACGATCACAACCGCGAACAGCGTACCTACTATGAAACTATTTTATAATAACTGAATCAGGAACCTCGCGGTCGACGGTAAAACTTGCAACCAATTACCTAATGAGGTTGTTTCGAATGACATATTGTTATTTGATCACCTCATTGACCAAATGGTCTTAAGACTAGAACACGGAGTACCTGTTCTTTTCTTTATTTATTATCAATACATTCTCAGTAATATAACGTAGATAAGAAATTCACCGGTTTAATGGCATTCAATTGGAATTTAGCATTTTTGGAAGGAGTTAAATTCTGCCTGCCAGAATCAGTGTTCCCCAAAAGGTATAAATGAGGGGCTCCAAGGAACGAGTGAATAGGTTGCTGATCAGTAAATGAGCCGCATCGTAGGCCGCATCATCGCTTACTTCCGGGCGAGATAATGGCAAAGCCATCAATACATAGTATAAAACAAAGTCGCTTTCTCCGTCCCTATATCCTATGTATGCTTAAATCTTTAAAACTACACAACAGATTTTAATTAATAGGTAGAGTGACTCAAGACGAAGTTTTATATGACATTTAATAACATTAAGTAATTAAATTTGTATCAGCATTATACCCGTGAGTAGCCGGGACGGGGTCACCAGTTCCAAAAAAAAAAACATCTTTTACCAGATACTGTAAATGTATGCATTCTGATTACTAAAAATTATTTAACCGGGAAACATTGTCAATGGCGTCTTACACAGTACGCTCCATTATGGCAAGAGCTACAGTTCGAATTTTGAAATTGCAGGAACTTTTGGCGCCAACGCTAATGTATGGTTGTGAAACGTAGATTTGGCAGAAGCATGAAAATAGATTTAATACTTTAGATATGAGAGACTCTCAAGAAGTTTTTGACCATAATAACGAAAACAAAGTTATGTGAAATGGGGAAAACATGCAAATAGTTATGCGCACCTATGTCTTTGAGCAATCTTTCTAAAAGGCTAAATGCTGTACATTTTTCTACGTATATGATTTGTTTATTTTTTCTTTTTGTATATATAAAATGTAATTGTATTTATTTTCTGTGCTGGTCTCAAATAAATGTTTTTTCTTTCTTTTCTTTTATTTATTTCTTTCTTTCTAAGAACCATTTGAAGCATTGTTCGAATGGCTTAGACTTACTCCCAAGCAAAAAATTTGTTGTTCTTATTGGAGCAAAGGACGATAAAATGGTTCACAGCGAAGTTTTTGTTTTTTCTAAACATTATTAAGAAGTTAATACACCACATTTTCTATTTCCACACCGTCATTGAAGTCTCGGTTGCATCCGCGCGCCTGTTATTGGATTGTTGGAGTACGATGCATAAAATATAGTTCGCTGCATACCTAGTACGTATTTTGTTTTTAAATTAGAATTAAAATACAACATCCTACTATCCCACTTATCCTAGTAATATTATAGAAGCGAAAGTTTGTGAGAATGTATGTTTGTTAATCTTTCAGGCAAAAACGGATGGACCGATTTGGTTGAAATTTGTTATGTAAAGAGTTATTACAAATTTTGTTCAAAACTTACAGAAAACTATCGAATTTGAAAATACGGATTAAGTTTTGATATTAACTAGCTGTCAAGTGTACAATTAAAAAGAACGTATTGATGGACTGACTGATTTAGTTGTGGTTTTTTTTTTGTGAGGGGAAAATCATCAAATAACTTCTCCCGCCCAGGACCGGATGAAAATTATATGCAAAGGGAAGGACCACGACGACGATACCGTGGACGGTTCAAACGAGCGAGCTCAAACTAAAAAAACAGAAACCAGGATAGGTAAAAGAAAGTAACGTCTTAAAAAAAACCTTAACAAAAAGACGATCTAATTCCATGACATTGAACAAAAGACAAGATATAACGAAAAGTGTCAAAAAACTCATTATAAAATTAGCATTCAACCTTCATTAAGTAAAAGAATATTATTATCATATCACTTTCTGGCCTAGAAAAACTAGTTCTTCAGACACTAAAGTAGTTTAGAAGGCGGACAAGAGATGTCTACCTCATAAAATATACCCACTGTTAAGATCCTTACAATATGGTGTCTGTTAGTCTGGGTTCTTTTATGTAATAGGTCGGCAAACAAGCAGACGGATTATCTGATGGTAAGCAATCAGCGCCGCCCATGGACACCCGCAACGGAGGACTTACGAGTACGTTGCCAACCTTTTATGATGATGATCAGGGTTAGTCAAATATTTTATGGCATACGACGGCAAATGAGTAGACTGATCACCAATATCCCCCACACTCGAATCAGGCTGGTGCGTTCCGATGAGGGAAAGGGACGGTTAAGTCTTTGTGGTAACCTCAACAGGACGAAACTATCACTCACAAGTCTTATTTCACACCAGCAGTTCTCATAGAGCGTGGTATCACTCCAGGCAATTAACAAAAGACTTAAAAAGATGGTTATTTTTTACTGTTTAGGAAGATTATGCCTACTCCCTAAGATGCTATTTATAATGAAAAATATACGGATCCCGTTAGGAGTTAGTCATTCGCTAGTTTTTATTTCCTTAATACTTTGAAGCAGAATTGCTTAGACCTAAGAGTGGGAGAGCCAAAGCCAGCCGGCACGAATGGGTCGGCTCGACCGGAGTGATACAACGGCGTCACAGAAAAAAGGCGTAAAACAACCACAGCGTTGTATCACAGTAGTTGTGTATCGCCGTGTGAGTCAGGTTTCCGGAGGCCCAATCCTTCTCCTCCCCCGATCCCTGCCCAATCCCTAAATCTCCAATACCCTAATAGGTCAGAAACGCACTCGTAACCCCCCTGTTCCTTCTCCCGCGTTGGGCCGAGGTCGCGGTGCCTCATTAACAACGGAGGAGCTACGAGTGCGTTGCCGACCTTTTTGGAACTAGGGAATTGGAGGTTTTGGGATCGGGGGAAGGGATAAGGCCGGTAACCTAACCCACACGGCAAAATACAACGCTGTGATTGTTACACGCCGGTTTTCTGTGAGGCCGTGGTATCAATCCGGTCGAGCCGAGCTTCGTGTCGAAGCATGGCTCTCCCACACCTAAAAGAGTCTATTAGAGAACTCTTTTATTGACGTAGCCTTTTACGAAAAAAAAAAAAAGAGTCATGCAATAACACTTTACTAACATTTTCCTTAACATGGGATAAAGATTTATTACCTTCTCAAGTTATTTTTATAAACAATCTTATTCAAAGTTTTTCAATCCACTCAGGAAACTTGCTTGGTGAATGTCAGCTACTGAGAGTTGGTACATTCGATATTTTTTACCCCAAGGGGATAAACGGGGAGTTAGTTGGAGGGATATTTATTTGCCGGTGGACATCAGATCACCATTGATGCGAAGCCTTATATTGACTGGCATCTACATGAAATCATTTTATGGCAAAAGTGATAGGAGCTGACGTATTACCTGATGGTCAGCAACAGTAAGCAATCAGCGCCGCCCTTGGACATTTGATTTAAGGATTGGAAGAGAGGGCGGGAAGGGGAGGGATTCAGCTTCCGGCAACCCCACTCACACGGCGAAACACAACGCTGTGGTTGTTTCACGCCGGTTTTCTGTGAGACTGTGATATCACTCCGGTCGAGCCGACCCATTCGTGCCGAAGCATGGTTATCCGACACTTTTTATTATATGTATAATGTTCTTTTTCCCTTAAAATAACGTATATTTTCTCCTGTATCGTGGATGCGTTTATAAACATTCAGAGAAGAAACTATTGGTGGGTCGTACAAAAAGATGTTCTGTTTAGGAATTGAATCAGTGACACGTTGCGTACCCACTGCATCAACCATGCATTAGGTCCCCCAACGGGGTTGCGGATCAAACGCAATGATGTATCGTGGCTCCGGCCCGGACCAAGGGAAGAAACATGTTAGTTTTTAGTCAGTAAGCCAAGCGTCTGACACTCTCCCTCGCTCCAGCCAGGACAAGAGACGTCATTTGTCTATTTCTCCCGCCAAAAAACGTACTAATTTCCTTCTATCGTACGAAAAGATTAAATCAATGGATATGTCCTAAAGTCCATCTCTTTCACTGGACGGAACAAAAAATATAATCATAAAAAAACTTACCACTGCTTACCGAAAAATAAACTTTAAAACTGAACACACAAAATACAATTTCCATTAAAACTATGTTAAATTATTAGAAGCATTAATATGTCTAGAGAAAAAACAACTTTATTTGTATAAAGATAAGGTTGATATTTGTTTGTTTCTAATGATTTTAAACAAACTTGTAAGTGGAAATGTCATTTAGCTTCCGTTTTACTCCTAAGTGACGGACGTACATACAAATGAAAATAATCATTTCAATTACAAAGAAATCTTTCTGATCTTTCTTGATAAAATGTTTCATCTTATCTCTGACATAAACAAGTATGAGTAACACATTCTCTAAAAACA